CACACACACACACACACACACACTTACTTTAGAAAGCATGAAACACAAAGCTGTAGCAGAGTTATTCTGTTATTATCTCATGAGTGCCCTGCGCCTAATGCAAATAGAATAAATCTGGTGTGTGGGGGTCTTTTACTTTGTAGAAGAGATCACTTTCTAACTGTATACAATCACGCTCTTTCCTGGCCCTCCAGCTTTTAACCTCTACCAATTTCCTTTCACATCTTTACAGATTTTTCCCCCAATAGCCATTAGTTGATATAAATAATTTATCATCAAGGATATATACTTTTTGTGGGGAGCTCTTACCATAAGCTAGGATTTTTTTTTTTATTGTTTTGCATTTCTATATGATTTTTACTTACAGCTTTGTAAACTCTATATGTTTTAGGCTAAGTCACTACGCATTTGGCAAAATGAACATTTTTGAAAAATATTCTTTAGAAACTTTGCTGGAATGTGTGTCTATTCAGTGCTTCTTTCTCAAATCCATTCCAGGAAAACTGGTCTTGATTATCAGTGCTTCATCTTGTTTCATTAATTACAAATCATTGCCCCTTGTGATATCAGTCTCTAATATTCCTCTTTCACACTCTTTGTGCGTGTGCCACAAAATTTTCTCTTCAGATGTAGCAAACATTGACTTCTCAGGAGCGTGCTAAATTAGCTAGAAGAATTTAGGAATGGAAAATGAAGACAGAGACAAAAAGTAAATTGACAAGGCAGTTGTAATGGGACTGTATAGATAAATATGATTGTTCATTATTGGCAGGGTGGTGGGTCAGGCCTCCATTTCACATCATAATTGACATATTATGAGACTGGCAGAGATGGCAAGCAGCCAACCTTGAGACTGTTGGAAAACGGAGACCGGAGGGAATACTTGAAGAGAGCTTAAATGGACTAGGTAAAGGATTTTTTTTAACCGTAACTAAATCACCCGCACTAAAGGAGTGGATGCATAAAGACATACTGAAAGAAGCTCTTCCCAAAAGGCCTTAAAAGTAGTATAGTTCTCTTTTCTTTGATGTAATTATCAAATTATATTACATTGTGATACACTTGCATATAATTGAAAAATCCAAGAAATCAAATTAAAAATACTTTTATGTATTATGTATTTTTTGACATGTGTATAAAATATTTTATATACATATGTCAAAAAAAATATAAACTCTTCCTATTCTGGGAAATACTGACTAGAATTCCTCCTTTTGATATTTTCTTACAATGAATCACATCAGTATTCACATTAGTCTGAGCAATATAAAAATACTAAGTTTACTTGCTATCTCAAGCAGCTGAATTCAAGACTCAGATGTGACTTCCACGCTCCCTTGTTGTTATGCTTCTGGTTCTATCACCTGCCTTTATCCAGCCCAACATTCCAGGGTCTGAGAATTCTCAGATGATCAGGGTTCTGTACTCAATAACAACTTAAAATCAGAAGGTTCAGCCTATTTTCCTGACTTAAAAGAAAGCAGGATATATAAGCCTGAGGTTTTCTGAATACTGAATTTTTAACAAAATCCTCTCAGAGTAATGCTTAGTATACTCATTCAAAGTACTTGAAGTCCTGGGCGGCATGAAATAGCCCTGAAATTATACAGGCCATGATGTGGGAGGTGATGATCTGATCCGGCAATAAGGCAGTGACTATGTTTGTGTATCAGACTTAAGGTATATAATATGGCTTGATTTATTTGGACATGGCATGTTGTGCAAACTTGGCCATATTGAACACTGCAAATTATGCTTCATTATTTATTCATATTTGCTGAAAATATTAATATCTTCTACATAATTTTAGGTAATTTTATAGCATCAATAAAGCTCTTGAAATAACAGCAAAAAGAATCCCAACAGTAGCAAGCAAGATAAATATTTAAGATAACAAAATCGTAATTTAAAGCAAAAAAACATGTGTATGTCCACCAAGTGATTTGTTCATCAGACCATAAACTAACCAAACTATGATTTAATTAGCATGCATTCTTTAACCATGCAGAAGTAGACTAACAGAAAGAGATCACATTCCTGCTTTCTTATCTTAATTTACATAATCATTTCTTTACTTGTAACTTGCCTAGTACATGACTTTAAAATTCTATCATTCAATAAATCCCCACCAGGAAATGTTGCAGATTTCAGGCTTTTAGTCCTGCCAGTTGTTTCTCTGCTAACAAAGCAAAAGGAGCTGCTAGCTTTTTCACCGTAATCAAACAGTATAGGTGGTAGGAATATGGGAGAAAAACACATCCAATAATTGGTGATAAAGCATTGTCCACATGTCCACAACTTCCAGTTATATATTATTCAAAATATCAAGAATTTGATAATAAATAATATGGATTAGGGTCTCCTATCAAACTCTTCTTCCAGGCACTGCAAAATGTTCAAGAGCCCTAAAGGAGCCGCAATGCACACTGCATGTTTATAGCTATTATTGCAATGCTATTAGAGCCAACTTTGTTATGAAGTCAAATTCCCAAGTTTCCTAGTAAGGTAGCATAAACTATAACACCCACAATTCCAAGCCAGTGGGAGTGGTACAGAAATTATTTGGCCAGCTGGCAGTGTAACTGGGCAATAATGAAACAAACACACTATGAAATAAGGACACAATGGCTTTGGCAAGCAAGATTTCTTCTTGGCAGAAAATGTCAGGGACACAAAAAGGAATCTAGAAAAGAAATCAGCACTCTTAAAATAAATTAGGTAATTTAGGATCTAGACCTCTATTTCCAATCTGATCAGAACTGAATCAGTTTGATTCTAAATATGGACACTATCTGACATCTTGGCAATTTGTTCAGATTTTTTTGTACAGATTTTGCTCTTGTGTACATGGCATATTATTGTACTGTATTATGATCAAAAGTGTTTGGAAGGTTCTCTTAAAAGTATGGTTCTGTGTTTTTACAGGATGTGGGGTGTAAAAAAGAAGTCATATAACTGTGAGAGATGTGGGAATGACTTTGTTAGCCGTGCGGCTCTGAGGTATCATTTTCATGCTAAACATCTTGGGAAGATTCATTGTGAAACATGCAGTGCAGAGATGTTATGGGAGGCTCCTTTACGTGACTCAAAGGTAAGCTGGAAGGTGTCACTGTATTCATTTTTAAGTTCTGTTGTCACTGAATGACTTTATTAAGTACTGTATTTGGAAGTGGTTTTTTTTGGGGGGGGGGGAAGCGGGAGGGAGGCAGTATCAGAATACTCAAATGTTGAAGAAAGGAACTTTGAGAGATCTGCAAGCTCCTTAGCAATCTCTTTGTTTACCTTGAGTATCATTCTTTCCCTAATGTTGTGGGTCCCATCCCCTAGGGAGATACTGTACATCTGGCGGGCGGGAGCCAGAAGAAGGGCCTTCTCTTGGTGGCTCCCTCTCTCTGGAACATTGTTTCCTCAGAGATTAGACTGGCCCCCACTCTAACACTCTTTCAGAAGGTACTGAAGATGTGCTTCTGCCAGAGTGGGACGGAGCCCATTAAATGGCTTGTATGAATGTGTGTTGTCGCTGGGGTGAGGGTGTGTGGGATTATTATTTTATTATTTTTCTTTTTATTATTTATATGTTGTTTTTATATCTGTGTAAGCTGCCGTGAGTAGGCAGCAATATAATTTGTTTAAAATAAACAAACAAATAAATAAACAAATAAATAAATAAAATTGTCCTACTAGGATCTGTTTGAATAGAGATTCCCATACAACATAGCAGTAAGCTGGGTGGGCTGCTACGGGTTCGCCCGGGTTCAGGTGGACCTGTTGCTAATGTTATGGCTGGTTCGCCGAACCGCCTTGGGGGAGGATGTGTTAACAGTATGACAGTGAGGAAATTATAACTTTGCAACCAATTCTTTATTTATAATGTTCATGGGTCTGCAAAGCAAAGGAAAGCTGCAGTTTCATTTATTACTTGATGACTGAGCAAGTGGTCCAAATTATGGTCACTAAATGAGGACTAGCTGTAATTCCAATTGATACCTGCTGCCTAGGAGAAGATAATGCCTCTGTTTAAAATTTATAAGCTTCCCACAAGTGTCTGGCTGGTTATTATAGAAATAGGATATTACCTTGCCATGGCTTTTAATCTACCTCAATAACATTTGTAATTTTGTTATGTTTTTTGTTCTTCAGGTTGTTAATTTCTTTGAATCCTGATCAGTATTAATTCATTCATATAGTGAATTTGTTTAACAGGCGGAGCATGAAGTGGTGCTGGTGAACAATCAAAGGAGTTGCTGGAATATAACACTGAGAAGGGAAACAAAATTTGTGGCCATGGGAACAGCCACCTCTTGCAGAATGTGCTGCAAGCAGTTTGGATCAGTCCATGCCAGGGAACACCACGAGAAACAGAAGCACCACTTTACAGCCAATAAAAGAGGTGATATTTTTATTTTGAATTTTAGCTCTGAGATCTTTCATTGCTGAAGGTCTCTGTGATTTCAGTTCTAGTTTTTAAAGTTGCTCCATACATTACATTTTTCCTACAACAATGTATGCAAATTATGACCTTTCAAAACCACTATAAATGTTACCATGAAATTATAATATTTAGTACAACAGCAGGGCAAACTATTAAACATATGTTTGCCATATTCTCTAGAACACACAGAGTCTTCTAAGCAGTTTCCTTTATTGTTCCTCACCTACAGACAGAATCTTGCCAAACTAAAGCAAACTACTTGCACCATACTCTGAGAACTTCTAGGATGGAGCTATTTTGATTCTGTTCCTCCCCACCAAACTATCTAAACTTTGCTGTCTTTTGATCCTCTGGAATGCAGTCCCTTCCTCCTGGAACCCAGACTACATTCCCCTACATGTTTGGCTGTGTAACAATTTCCAATGGCCATCAATTGAAGAGTGACCATTTTCTCACATGAGCTCTGACATGTCTCCATTTCCCCCCCCCTTAAAATCTATGTTAGGGTACTGATGATAGCAGTAGGCATCAAAGGTGTTACTAATTCAATGCAGAATAGCCATGAATAATAAATTAAGAAAATCTGTAATTTGTCTTGATTTTTATATTTATATTTTTGGTACAGCTCAAATGGCCACTAACTTTAAGCCTGAAACCTTCTTGGAGTATACAACACCAATGGAGATAAATACATTTGTGAAAGAAAAACTCAGAGCCAGTTTGGGTCCTGTAAGGCAAGCCTGTACATCAGAAGTTGAAGGCATTATTACATTTATCAAAGAAAATTTTCCATTGCCAATAACTTCCACTATCAAGGTATTTATATTCGCTATGCATTTGCCTTGAGACTGATCACAAAAGTACATTCTTATTTCCTATGAAAAAGTTTCTCTTTTTATACCTGGCATTCCATATTTTACTAATTGTCCACATAATTGGATTAGTAGGTTTGTGTGCAAAATATATACATTAGTTTCTCATTAGTATCATCCATTTCATATTTTTTCTTAAGAGTAATGCTTTGCAGTGAGAGTGATCTGTTATAGGAACACTCAATTTAATTAGAGAAATGTATGCATTTTCCCCTTGGATAGAGATTTTGCCCAGGATATTTTAGTATGATATTATTACCACCTGATGGAATATTTGGATATTCTGTAAATTACCAATCTGTGGCCCTCTCATCAAATTCTATTGCCTAATAGCCTGGCTCTTTCAATCTCATGAGATTTGAAGCAAGGACAGTCTTGCATGTGTCAATGTGGCTATGACTGAAGTGAATATGGCACCTGAATAATTCCTTCTTTAACATTCAGATATGACCCAACCCTGGATATGATTTATTATGACAAAAGTTAAGAATTAGGTAATATTTATTTGGAAGCAGTGTATACTTGTTTGAATAAAATGCAGCTTCTGCATCCTTTGAATCACTATTGCTTTGTGAACTTTTGAGGTCTGTGGTGTCTAATTCAATCAAGTGTTTTAAGGTTTCTTCATACATTATATTCTTCATCTTAATCTCTGTTTAAGGAAAAGTGCATGTGGAATTGATTTGAGCAAATGTGTTCCATTCACATGTATGCCAGTGATCTATTATGCATATGGAAGCAAAATGAATACATACATGGGCATTATGCAAGACAGCTATATTGTATGTATTATCTGTAAGAAGCAATCCAACTGATAAAGCAGATGATAGTCTTGCATCCCCAGGCAATTAATTTTATAGATCAATGATACATGAGATATGTCCTGGGAATATGCCACATTTCATTCAGTAAAGCTTCATAGTTAATATCCTGTTTGGGATAAAAGGTGGTAAAGCCTATGCATAACTAGTGCATTTAGCTAACACTCAGTGGTAAAATCAAGATTCAGAAGATTGCAAAAGGCTAGACTGATAGGGAGACCTAGTCATCCACTATAGATCCAGAATTCAGGAGAATAGAGCTAACAGAATCATGGCCAGATCATTGGATTCAAGAAACTTTCTTTAAGTCATACAAGAAAGTCCCACAAATCCATACCAAAGTAACACGTTGATTAGATTAGACCTACTAGCAAGGTTCCACATTTCAAAGAATTCTTCATCAAGGAAAATTGTTAGAAATGCACAAAAATAGGGGAGGGCTAAAGAAAAAATGTGTGGCAATATATCATATTGCGCTGAAGTTTAATGTTAGACTAAACTACTGAAGTAACTCCAGACATATAAATTGAGATTGTTAAGTACATGAGTGGTGCTGGATTACACAAAGAAAAGCAAATAATAACTGCTCCCTTTCAAAAACCAAAATAAGAAAAATTGCCAGTTCAAACCAAAATTGTTTTCTAAACTTCATGTGATACTCAGATGCTTTGATAGTTGAATCAACAAAGAAATTTACATAAACAAGTTTTATATAATTCAAGATGTTGCTCTAAATTAAAAATTAATCAAGTGTATTCTGAGAGAATATGCCTTCTTAATGACAAAAAGGCATATTCCCTCAGAATACAAATCTAGCATAAAGGATAGAAAACGGTCCATTTCTATAGTATCTTGTTGAATAGGTTAAATTCATCTTTTTCCAAATTATGTAAATAGCAGAAGTAACTGTATACTACTCAACAGGAACAAAAGTCCATATTGACACGGCACTGTTAATTGAAGAAGTATAAATAATTGTAAACAAAACTTGATAATCTTTGGATATGCTGGGCTATGACTAAGACAATTGTCAAAAAGCTAGACAATAAGCCTTTATATGGCTTATTCAGTTATAGTCATTCACATGACTTACAGCAATTATCTGTAATGCTAGTGAGTATATCTTTGGCATTACAAGATAGCCTGCATGATGCACCATAGTGCTTTGCAATGGTTGAATTTGGATATCTCCAGTTCTAAGTTGTCTCTTTTGGAGTTGAGGTGAGATAAAGTTCCTTTGTTGGGGATGATAGTAAAGAAAAACAATCCCCTTCATATTTGATCTCTGTTCTTAGAGTAATCATATTATTAAAGGAATTTAGACATATGGCACTAACTACTCTTGGGAAGGTGCAGTAATCCTTTCCATAAGCAGCTTATTGTGATGCACCTGTTTTCTGCTAATAGCCTAAAATACTGCAAGTGTGCTGCTGGAATTTATGTTTTGTTGTTAAAATATTCAAGAGTATGTGGATTAAAATAAAGTATTAACCATCTTTTTTGGGGTAATATTCCATGCAACAGGGTGGTTCATATGTGAAAGGAACAGACACCCAAGACTTTTCTGATGTGGACATAGTTCTTTTTAGCAAAACTTTTTCCAGTTTAGAAGACTGCCAAAGGACAACTCCAGAGGTCCTAGAAGAGTTAGGAAATTCCCTGATAAAATCCTCATGGACAAGCAGGTTTGAACTTATGCTGTACTTGCTTCATGTTCTTTTGTCTTCTACTTTGATTCTCCCTGCCCTCCCCTAATTACTGTACAGTAAAGCTGTTACATTAAAGCCTCATTATATCTTTTACTTTCTTCCTCTTTTAAGGTTAGTCATGCAGAAAAGGACAAAGTTTTCCTTGAGGTTCTATTTTAAGTGTTATAAAAATCATCATGGTCACTCATTTGACATCATGCCTTGCTATGACATGTTTGCATCTGTGTTATCAACAGGTAAGATGTGGCTATTATTTGGGAAAGTGATTCTCCTTCCTCTCACCAAAAGATCACTACTGGGAGCTCTACATTAGTGTTTAGATCTAAATTAATGCATTATTTCCAGGTGCTCACAATTTGTAAGGTTTGGTTTTGGTTAAGATCTAAAAGTAAAGTAGGTCAAAGCAGCATCATTAGTCTTATAGATTGCTTGGTGTTAACAGGTCCAAAAGAGAGCTTTTATTACAAGCTATACCTTTGCAGTGATGATGATAAGATCCAGCTGTATACCATGGCTTTATTGAAATACCAAGTTGAATTTGTCAAAGCATCAACAGAAATGGTGAAGGATTTCATACGTTTAATGAAGCACTGGTTCAAAACTTCATTTGCTGAACCAACCGAAGAAAATAAGTAAGTTGCTTAGCATCTAAAGTTCATATTTTTTAGATCTTCATATTTTCATGTTTTCCAGCTTTATAATAGGAAACACCTCTAACACAGTTGAAGTGTGATTTACAGATTTTTATATATTTTTTCCATATCCAGCCCCAAACGATGGCTAATTTGTAAATTAGAAAACATAAGTCAAAATCTTGGTGGCAACAGGAGAAATATGAAAATGGAAGGAACAGTTAACAAATTGAAAATTAAAAACAAAATGACATTTTGTTGTTGGTTTTTAGCATTTTGGGGTTTTGACTTTTGCTATTAACCATTCCTTGCGATTGAAACTTCTCTATCTGAATCTCTTTCTGTGCATTTAGGTTTCGCAGGCTTCCTTCCTCCTATACAATTGAGCTGATCACCATTTATGTCTGGGAACTGGCTGGAAAGCCCATCTTTTTCAGCTTTGTACAGGGGATGAGAGCTGTCCTGAAGCTTTTGACTCAGTATCAAGAGATATGTATCACATGGCACAGACACTACAGACCAAATTTTTCAATTTTCCAGAAAATGTTTTTGAAGCAAAGCAGGTAAACAAGGTTTCTATATATTTGACTGTTCTTCATTTATAGATCCACTCTAACAAACAGGAGGAAGGACTGGGCTTCTGATATTTTATCAACTATGGTCTCATTAGTGTATGGCTTCTGTTTCATTTACGGAGCACAATCTGCTTGCTCTATATTTCTGGGTTTTGTTCCAGACACATTTTTAATAGCCATCTGAAGGATTAAGCTATTGCTGCAGAAGGCAATACTGTACCAATGGCACTTGAGAATGAAGAAGATTTGTGAAAGGGATGAGCAGGGAGAATTGGAATTCTAGACTGGATGAGAGGGAATATATGCAAGTGTGAACATTAGGAGTAGATGGACTCAACCAAGTGCCTTGTCGCATGTCATATTTGAATGGCCAATAAATAAATATCACCTGCCCATATAGGATATTTTCTTTCTCTCTTAGGCCATTTGTGCTGGATCCTGTTAACCCAACCTTCAATGTGTGTGAAAATAGCAATGCTTGGGATGAAGTAGCCCACGTGGCTAGACAGAGTCTCCTTAAGCCCCTCTTCAATGGCATAGCAGCAAAGAAGCCTTGGCTTTTTACAAACAACTGGTGAATTCAAGTAGGCCTTTATTACAATCAGCAAGGTCTCCTACTGCTAGCAGAAAGCCACCATATGAAAATGAAATTTACAGACAAAGAGCCAGGGCACATATGTATTTTACTTGCAATTTCCTCCCTTTTTCAAGAGTACAATAGGAGGGCAGCTGGTGAATCAGAGGAGGAGCTGCCATAAATTATGACCTTTTCTTCTACTCCACATGTCCACAGATAGATGCATACAGTTTTTGTTTCTGTGACATTCCACCCCATGTTTCCAAGGTAAACATCGGTTTAGATTTGGTAAGATAAGAAATGGCAAGAGAGGAAAATTTAGGTTGAAAGCAACTGGCAACATTGAATGCAAATTAATGGGCTTGGACTGACTGCTTAGAGATTTCAGAAAACTCATATTTAAACATATGTCTAAAATAAAATCAGATAAACTTCTGTCCTCCTCTGAACCCTTCTATTTTATTTTCTGCCTTGCAGGAGGCAGATTAGTTTTCTCCCTGGGCAGACTTGCTTCTCTTCTGACATCTTTGACATCTCATTACAAATTTAGCCTCAAGAACACTTGTCCTAAAACAAATCACAGAATGAAAGAAGTCTTACAATAAGTTTTTATGCCCCAGAGAAATAAGCAATCACAATAAGTCTCTTTTTTCTGTGTTTTACATGTATGCAAAACATTCATTTGCTTTATTTTTGGAGAAAGTTTCAGAACACTTTTACAGAATTACCATCCAAATTTTACATATGAGGATGATCAAACAGAATACATTAAGGAAATACCCAATAGCCATTTTTAATGATTATTCCTTCATTTGCCCATTCTTCTAATTCTGTATAGACAATGGATCTTATTTTAATACTAAAATAATTTGCTGTAGCAAGCACAAGGATGACAACTGTAGATGAACACTTAAAAAATTCACCCAATTTACTTGGTATGCTACTATATAGCATTTTGTGTGAATATAAGGTTGTTCACAATGTTGTGAATATAAGGTTATTCACAATAATACAGTAATATACATAACTCTGCATCTGACAATTAGAGTAGATTGTCTGGACTGTGCTTGATGAACAATATATTGTGATACAGAAACAGTGAAGAGCTAATCAGCCATGCTTACTGCTAAACCAGAAATCCATGATAAATGAAATGCTAGTAGCACTGAATAGTTTTACTTGAAGGTCTTAAATTAAGCAATCATAAAAGCAGGTTGAAATTCAGTTGTTAAAGTATCATTGTTTCATGGGAAGATAGATGGAAAATCCTGTTGCAGGAAATATGCTGAATAATTCTAAATTACTGTTTTCAATACATGCGATTTTGTTGTGGTGGTGGTGGTGACAGTCAGTTAAGCTGAAAACACCTGAGAAGTGACTCCAAAATGTTTTGGACTTAGCATGAAAACAGCACCTCTTTGCTATTCTTGCAGAGCTATCAGTCTTTTTTGAGGCTTCTGTGCAATCCTGAAAAAGGATGCATCTGCTTTAAGGAATCTGAATTTGAATTTCTGCAGTCCAGACCTGGTAGCTATACATTTCAGTATTATCCTGACTCTTCCAGCATTGATTTGACATTGTGTTGATATAGCAGCCAGTATTACCCTGCTAAGTTTTTGCAGAACCTGTTTCTGTATGGGAACTTTGAATAAGATGTATAGTTATTTCAACTGCGGTTCAAAGATATTGCCTTCTTTTTCTGATTTGCAGAGGAAAATAACATAGTTAGCAAACAGTGCAGTCATTTGCAGTCCTTATTCAGAGGCAACAAGCTTGACATGTTATTTCCCTAATTTGTTTAGCAAATTAGACCAAAGTTGGCTTCTTTCAACTACCTGAGATATTTTCCCCCTTTCTTAGGTCAAAATAAATTGATATAGATTTGCTACAACTAAGTATATTTTAAAATTATCTCATTGGTTTTTTGAGAACATGTCACTATTTTTAATATGAAAACTTTATTGTTCTCCATTAAAAAAGACTAATAAACTTACACATTTTTGTTTTTTGCATATTGCAAGGATACTACTTTCCCCCCAAATGTCTACCCAACGAATAATTATTACACTGAAAGCTCTGATCAACAATACTTAACTAACTGTGCTTCTTCTCAAAGAATTTAGAAGCCTAAATGCTATTACTACTTAAACAGCTACTATAAAAGTCCCTCTGTCCATTCTCAAATTGTATTATGTCCGTTTTAAGCATTGCCCATCTGATGAAAGAAGGATAAACTGAAGTCTACGTCCTTTTCTTACTTTCTGGGAACGTTAGTTTGATATACAAGGACTCCTTTTTTTTTTTAACTTGGGATACTTTCTTCTCATCAAGGAGGCTTTCAGCTTAGTACATTACACGGTACACTAAGTAAGGTAAACAGTTACTTCTTATTGATCTGAATAATTAAGATGCAGACACACAATAATCCCATCTCTCAAATGTAGGCTAACGATACCCACTGAGGGCTAGGCTCATGCGATCATCATTTGAAGAGGTAGTTGCAGAATCGCTATACAGCTGACTCAGTGCCAAGCCAAGGATTTCTTTTTTTTCTTTGTAAAACCGCAACTCTTGCCCGGCTTTCCTTGCTTCTTCGAGCTCTCTAAGTGCCACTTGTAGCTCTTGTGATATAATGCCCGGAATTCCTTGCTCTTTCATGAGCCAGTCCAGTGCCATATGACTTCTCATTCGTTCATCTAAATTGTATTGGGAATAATAGGAAATCACTTCCTATGACCCACCCACCCCAAAAAGAAGAGTTAGCAACCAATATAGCAAATTAAACACATCCTAAAATATAGATGTTGGAGAACCAGTCAACACATCCCACCAAAGAAACATGCCATGAACTGCAGGCCTAGTTGTGTAGGAGCTTTAATGTGAGCAATTACGAGGGCTGTGAGCCAGTCTAGTGTAGTGATTAAAGGTACTAGGCTAGAAATTAGAAGACTCTAAGTTCTAGTCCTGTCTTAGGCATGAAGCTAGCTGGAAGATTTTGGCCCAGTCACTCTCTCTCAGCCCTAGGATGAAGGCAATAGCAAACCATTTCTGAAAATATTGCCAAGAATACTGCAATGTCAGCCATATGACATGGACCAGACCAAAAAAGAAGATCCACATAAGGCTAAAAATACTTTATTAAGGTTGGCTATAATACCAGAAACCTGCAGGTCTGCACTTCCTTCACCTGTCAAGGTCACCTTTTTTTTTTTTACTGCATAGATCATCACTAACTTGAAGACACACCCAAAAGCCTTAGGTTAATGTACAGTAAGGACTGAATTATTTTCTAATGTCATAAAATTAGACATTGTACTTAAAAGATCTTAAAGCCCTTTTAATTATTGCTCTCGTATTTCCATACCCATTTGTTCATGATCTGCCATTTTGCATGCTTTTTGTCTATGTATAAAATGCATCACCAAATGGTGTTCAGGCTTGTGTTGAGAAGGGCTGCCATGGTTCTTTAAAAATGGGATATTTTATGCTACAGAATTTACATTTCAGTTTTTCATGTAGATACAGTATTAATCGAATCCAAGCTCTCTCCGAGTGAGTTCCTCCTTACCACTTGACCATCAGCAAAAACTGAAGTTAGTTATGATTGTTAATTAACATAGTAATTACTTAGAGTAATAAAAATAAAACATATTTATTGGATTGTATGAGATATTTCTCAGCATATGTTTAATATGAAATGATTTTGCCTACTGAATTCTGTTTACTACCAACATAAGCCAGAACAATCTATTATTGAATCAGAGATTTCTTGTGTTTATTTAATTGTTTAAATGTTTGGTGTTATTTGTGTATGTTTTACATTGTTTCTATGTGTAGATCTTATTCATCCCA